TGCTGCGTGCTTTACGCAGACATCGACTGTGGTAGATGTCTTGGACGTGTGGAGACTGCTCCCAGTGATGTCCTCTGCTGTTTGCACCACCCGCTATAGAGCTTTCCGGCTCTGACTGATGCAGTTCATGTACCTCCCTGTGAAGCAGCCTGTCAGCAGGCTCTTAATGCTGCACCTATAAAAGTTGGTGAAGATGCTGTTGTTTGTACCAAACTTCATTAGTCTTCAATTCAATTCAAATTCAATTCAATTCAAAAATACTTTATTAATCCCAGAGGGAAATTATATGTTGCGGTAACTCATCATCCTGGTTTCATTAATGAGTTGTTATAGATGCTGATGGCTGTGGACAGGAAGGATCTCTTGTAGCGTCTGTCCTACAACGGATTTGAAGAAGCCTCTGACTGAAGACACTCTGTTGTTGTATGACAATCTGATGAAGAGGATGCTGAGGGTTGTCTATAATGTTCTTCATTTTATGAAGAATCCTTCTTGGAACAATCATTACCAAAGGTTCTAGAGGAGTCCCCAGAACTGAGCCAGCCTTCTTTATGAGCTTGTTGATCTTTTTTAAGTCACTTGCTCTGGTGTTGCTCCCCCAGCAGATGATGGCAGAAGAGATGGCACTCTCTACAACAGACTTATAGAAGATATGCAGCATCTTGCTGCAAACGTTGAAGGACTTAAGCTTCCTCAAGAAGTACAGTCTGCTCTGTTCCTTCTTGTAGACGCTTCACTGTTGCATTTCCAGTCCAGTCTGTTGTCCAGGTGAACTCCAAGGTATTTATACTTCACCACCACCTCCACTTCTTCTCCCATGATGAAAATAGGGTTGGACCTGTTCCTGATTCTCCTGAAATGTACAATCATCTCCTTTGTTTTGTTCACATTCAAGATGAGATGATTGTTTCCACACCATGCCACAAAGCGGACCACCAGTTCCCTGTACTCAGCTTCTTGTCCATCTCTGATACACCTGACCACTGCAGAGTCATCAGAATATTTCTGCAGATGACAGGAGTCTGTTTTGTACTGGAAATCTGAGGTGTACAGAGTGAAAAGGAATGGTGAGAGTACAGTCCCCTGTGGTGCTCCTGAGCTACTGACCACCTGGTTAGACACACAACCCTTCAGTCTCACAAGCCGTGGTCTGTCAGGTAGTCTTTGATCCAGGCGATTGTTGAGGCCTCCACCTGAGTCTTCTGAAGTTTCTGACAAAGCAAATCAGGCTGGATTGTGTTAAATGCACTGGAGAAATCAAAGAACATGACTCTCACAGTGCTGTCTGCCTTTTCTAGATGACAGTGAGTTTACTGAAGCAGGTGTATGATGGCATCTTCAACTCCAAGTCGATGCCGATAAGCAAACTGCAGTGGGTCCTGATATGTGCTTGTTTGTCTAGTCAGGTGGGTCAGCAGAAGTCTCTCTAGGACCTTCATGATGTGGGAAGTCAGGGCAACAGGTCTATAGTCATTGAGAACTGATGGGTGAGTTTTCTTTGGCACTGGAACAAGACAGGATGTTTTCCACAACACTGGAACCTTCTCCTGGGTCAGGCTAAGGTTGAAGAGGTGCTGCAGAACCCCATAGAGCTGCTCTGCACAGACCTTCAGGACTCTGGGACTGACACCATCTGGACCTGCAGCCTTATTCCAGTTCAATCTCTCCAGCTGCTTCCTCACCTGACTTCTGGAGACGCAGAGGAGGGAGGCAAAGGAGGTATCAGCATCTTCTGATTTGGTTGAAGCCCAATATGTAGAAGAAGGGTCCATGACTGAGGTGGTAGATACAATATTTGAGGTGTGACAGGACAGCCTTGGGTCAGTGGAGGGTGGTATGTATGTTTGGCTGTGGGCAAGAGAGGAGGATGCTGAGCTTGTTCCTGAACTGAACCTATTGAAGAATGTGTTCAGTTCATTGGCTCTGTCCAGGCTTCCATCCTTCTGATCCTCCTTCTGCTTGAAGCCTGTGATCTTTTTCATCCCTGACCACACCTCTCTGATATTGTTCTGTTGGAGCCTGCTTTCCAGCTTCTTCTTGTACACCTCCTTGCTGTTTCTTATCTTAACTTTTAGTACTTTTCTACTTCTTAGGAAGTAGAGTCTTTGTCTGGCTTCCTTGACTGCAGTGTCTGTATGTAAAGTCCAGGACAAATCCTCGGTAATGTGAAAGCCGAGGAACTTGAAGCTGCTGACTTGCTCCACCTCAGCGTTGTTTATGTTGATGGTGGATTGTTGGCCTCCACGTTGTTTCCTGAAGTACACTATCATCTCCGTTGTTATGCTGGCATTTAGAGAGAGGTTATTTTCCTGACACCAGCTGGTCAGTGATTTCACCTCGTCTCTGTAGGCACTCTTGTCATTGTTGGTGATGAGGCCCATGATGGTGGTGTCATCAGCATACTTGAGGATGATGTTAGAGCTGTGCTTGACGGTACAGTCATGTGTAAATAGTGAGTACAGGAGTGGACTTAGGTTGTTTTCACACCTGATAGTCCGGTAGACTCGGTTCGATTGGGGACCAATATTCATGACATTTTGTTTACATTTGAGCTGGTGCGTTTGCATTCACACTGCACTGTGCAGTCGAGCCAACCTGTTGAACCAACCTATTCCCCCGCTCGCCTGTGGTGGCGCTGCGCCAAGAAATTCTGAAAGAAACAACACACAAACCTCTGAAGAGACTTTTTCTTCTTCTGGAAATAAAAACAAAAATGGAGTGGCATCAAGTTTTAAGCTCCTATGAGGGAACAACGCCAAGCCATTGGTTCTGATATGTGGATGATACCTGGGTCAAAATCCAAGCTAAGGAAATAGAAGCGTTCACCAGACACATTAACTCGGTCGATAACATCAAGTTCACCAGAGAAGATGCTAACGACAACTAGCTGCCTTTTTTGGACTGTTTGGTTCAGATGGAAAGAGAGGACAGCCTTAACATTGAAGTTTACAGGAAACCAACCCACACAGACCAGTATCTTCTGTTTGACTCCCACCATCCACTGGAACACAAACTCTCTGTCATCAGAACTTTACAGCATCGGGCCGAACGCGTCCCCACGAAGACAGAAGGGAAAGAAAAGGAACAGAAACACATTCAAGAAGCTCTCCAAACATGTGGATATCCTAACTGGGCTTTTGTCAAGTCAGCGAGGAAATCTACAAAACACACTACTAAATAGAAAAAGGAGAACAACAGACATAAAAACATTTTCATCCCTTATGTTGCTGGAGTATCAGAGAAATTCAGAAGGATTTTCAACAAACACAACATCCCAGTACATTTCAAACCCAGCAGGACTCTCAGACAGAGGCTGGTCCACCCTAAGGACAAAACACCCATACACAAACAGAGTGGTGTAGTGTATGTGGTCCAATGCAGCGAGGACTGTCCAGACCTCTACAGTGGAGAAACTAAACATCCTCTTCACAGACGCATGGCTCAACACAGGAGATCCACCTCCTCTGGACAAGACTCAGCTGTTCACTTCCACCTCACAAATAAGGGACACTCTTCTGAGGACCAAAATGTGCACATTTTGGACCGAGAACACAGATGGTTTGAGAGGGGGGTGAAGGAAGCAATTTATGTAAAAAGGGAAAAGCCATCTCTTAACAGAGGAGGGGGCCTCAGATTTCCACTTCCAAAAACCTATAGTGCAACTTTAAGACTGATTCCCAGCCAGTTTTCACACTTGATGGGAACAGAGGGGTCTCATCTGTGAATTAGAGTAACAAAGACTTTAAGAAGCCCCTACTGTTAAAGTGTGGAGGTGTGACTTGGCAAATCTACATATGTGTGTGTGTGTCTTATCTCACTCTGCCTTATAACCTGAATCTCTCACTCACTGCTCATTGAATTGAAAAAGCTCCTTGGATGAGGATCGAAACGTCTTCTGTTACAAATAAAGTCCAGTTGTTTTTGTATTGAACGTTTTTTGAATTCATCGTGTCCTGGATGACTAAGAATCTTCACAAGCATATTACAGAAGCTTATCGAAGCAATGCCACAGTGACAACAAAATATTAGTGTATGACCTATTTTTTTGGTGGCAACATTTTTTTGGGGGAGCCAGACAGTGTATATAAAAGTTTCTGTGCAGTGCCCTGAAACGACTTTGGTTGTGACTTGGCGCTGTATAAATAAATTGAGTTGAAATCTACTAGATCTTTGCAAAGCTAATTGAACCAATCATTATAAAGAGACTAATCAATGCTTTAGATCACATTCATACACTGATGGGACACACATCGGAGGCAATGAGGGGTTCAGTGTCTTACCCAGGGACACTTCGACATGTGACTGCTGGTGGATTCGAACCCCCAACTCTTGCATTCGAGGATGACTGCTCTAACCACTCAGCCACAGCCGCCAAAAAAGGCAAAAAAATAATAAAAAGACTGTTTGAAAAAAAAAGTTTTGCAAGCTTGTTCTTGTCTGTTGTGGGCGTGTCTCGAAGAGTCCATTAGGCATGCTATTGGCTGACTACGTGTACACGTAACATGATTTGTTGATATAGCTTTAACTGGAAGTAGACAAAGATGTGTGACACAGACTGAACGACAGTCGTGTTAGCGGTTTAGCAAAGCTAATTTTTTTTAGTTAGCGGGAATATGGGTTAGCAAAGCTAACATTTTGGTTAGCTGTGCCCACCACTGTTGGTAATAAACTTGATCTGTAACAGACTGACTAGCCTTGATGACCACACCTGGTCTCTTGGTCCTTATCCATTACACTGAAACTAAGAAAATTAGAAATGCACAGTTTGATTTAATTTCCACCACGGTGTTTGGCTGCATAAAAAGAATCATGAAAACTGAAAAGAAGCAATGCTCAAAGAATGACAGAAAAAAAATGACAAAAACTCTAAAAAGTCCTACCATTAGGCAGTAGTGTTCATCCATGTTTAGGTAACAAAAACGCTGAAAAGACTAATAATTTTTTTATGTTAAAGTGGTGCATTGTTGGCACACGTTTAAGCTGTTTAACTTTGTTCTCAGGTTCTAAATGGCTCCTTTTCCCTGGAGTTGGTCAGCGAGAAGTACTGGAAGGTCAACAAACCCATGGAGCTCTATTTTGCTCCCACGAAAGAACACAAGTAAACACTCTCTACATCCATACATAGACACACCAACCGGACTGATGGACTGGGTTACACACACCAGAGGAGAGCCATGGGCTCTGAACAAGATCGGGGTGGTTGGTTAAACCATCACAAAGCCTTTTATTAAACAAAAAAGAAGGAAAAAAGAAACATTTTGTATTTTCTTCTCTGTCTCTCTTTAAATGGTAGCAGATCAGTTCAATAGCCCTGGACCTGGACAAGTGTAGATCCAAACATAGTCCATCCGTAGTCTGAATTAGTCATTTTCCTGGCAAAAAAAAAAAAGTTTTTTTTTTTTTTGTGTGTGAAATGCTGTTTGTTGTGAATATGGTGTGTTCCCAACATGGTGGCCTTGCATGTCACTGTGTGACAAAGACCAACTTTGTCCAAACAGTCCAGGATTTGGACAGGTTGATTGTTTCTTTGATCAACAGAAAGAAAAACGAAAAAACAAACATTAAAGACATTGGCAGACAAACACTGCCTGTGTTTCTGTGTGGGATGCATTTGATGAACATTTAAGGTTGAATATGTTTTTCTTTTCAAAAAGACTATTTGAAACAACCTGCTCTTTTTTTAAAAACCTAACCTAAATTTTATGTTCTAGGATGGGGTTAGCTAATCGTAGCTGAGCTGCAGTCTAATGAACACAATGGTTAGAATGTATACATGTACATGTACATTTTACATCTGAAAATGACCCTTTTTGTTTGTTTTTTTGGTGACACTTAAGGTTGTAAAATGTAGGAATTTGACGACTTGTCTTAGTTGGACTGTCCATATTTGTTTCTTGTACAAACTGTGCTGTGATTTTGTGCTTTCTATGGCTTGTCCTTTTATAAATGTTTTTTTTAACATGGAGAGGAAGCAGGGTGTGTTATTTGACCAGTATTGTGGGGGTGAGGGGGTATTTGTGTCAGACCATCACAGTGTTCAGTACTCAGAACTTTTTCTCAGTTTGTCGATCAATTATGTCTTGGTTATCAAGCTGTCTGTAAATGATTTTTAAAAAGTGTTTTCCACCAAATTTGTTTTGGTCCTAGGACCAGTTCTGAACTGGTTCTATATAATAAAAAATAAAAAATCTGGTTTATTTCGTAGCCGGGGGAGCTACCCAAGAGCCAACATAATACTTCATTGTTACATCCCGGCTCGTTTTGGACGCAACATAAATGACATGACAAAAGTTTGTGTAAAAAAATAATAAAAGACGATTTATTTTTGGCTGAGTTTAAACACAGCAATAGCTGGCATTCTTCACACAGATTAACTAAAAACACCAAGAATACCTTGTTCTGAAAAATGACCCAACAACTTGAAAACAAGTGAAAATTCCAAACCAAACAAAATGCAGAACCCCAACTAACAAAGATCAAACTAATAAGTGGCTCCACAATGAGAATGAAATCTCCAAACACACAAATCTGTCTTTGCTACAAAGGCCACAATCTATCAGATTCAATAAAACACAGCAAGACACAATTGGAAACAGTTTGGCTGCACCACCAAAAATTGGCATACTGCACACTAAGCAGCACTGACTGAAGGGCAGGGCTGGCTTTTATGATCTTCCTCCTTCTGGCAGTCGCTGGTGGATGGGCAGTGCTGTCCAAACCTCCTCCGGCCAATCATTTTTGGACAGGTAAGCCTTGAAGCCTTGGTCGAGAGTCCACCAGTAAAGGGAGGCAGAGAGCTTGCAGCAACCAGGCAGTACAGAAAAGAAAACTACAAAAGAAGAAAATCGATACAGGCTGGAAGCCGTAACACCCCTCCCCTTAAAACAAAAGCCCATATAATAAACACAGGCTTACGTTTCAAACCTGGGCAATGTGTCTTTCATAATATTTTCTGTCCCTTGTTTGTGACGAATGTCCAATTTAAAATCTTGGATAAGCCCACCACATGAGCCGTTGGTTGTGGTTCAGCATACGAGATAGGAACACAAGGGGATTATGGTTGGTGTACACAACAATTGTCCAAGGTCTAGAGCCAAGATACACCTCAAAGTGCTGGAGAGCGAGTAACAAGGCATACCGGTAAGTTTCTTTCTCTAAATAAAGGTTGAATGAAAAAAGTTTCTTTCTCAATGGTGAAGCAATTGATGTTTTTTGAATTTTCTAGAGAAATAACAAACCAGATGATCAGCAATTACTGTCCTCCTGCAGCAGAACTGCGTAGGGATGGGGCCCATGCGGTATCGGCCTCCTATACCAGCATAATTTACGTATCGGATTTTTCTGATCCAACCTGCAGAGATTTCTGATCCATGATGCATGTCTGTGTTTGATGAAACGTCTCCACATATGATTCCCTGCCGGCTGCTCAGCAAGTTGGCTTCAAACTATGGAATGGATCTCCTGAACGGAGGTGTGTCCCATGAAACCCAGAGTAATAAGACCCGCCTCACATTCAGGAAATCCATTTCATAGTTTGCAGCCAGCTAAAACATGAGTAAATACTAAGGTGACCAGATTTCTGAAGTGAAATCTAGGGACATTTACAGCTCGGAGACCAAAAACAATGAAATTTTATCAAGATGAAATTAAAAACGGGGACGGTTACAGTTTCATTTATTTTTACATATTTATTTATGTTTAAACAATAAAAATCAAATGAAATGTGTCTCTCCACACTGTTAACATTTCCTAAGAGTAATAAAATGAATAAATTAATAGCAGTAGTAATAGAGTACTAAAACTGGGGGGAGGGATCAAGGATATATACTAGTAAGTGAACGTGCATAGCTTGTGCTGGTGAAGATTCTCAGTCATCCAGGACATGATGAATTCAAAAAGCGATCAATACAAAAACAACTGGACTTTATTTGTAAAAGAAAACATTTCGTGCATAGTTTGTGAGTGAATGAGGACATGTATGTACATCGGTGTGTATAAGTACACAGTGTATATGGTTATGTAGCTGATGTGTATTTATATTGTGTGTATGTGTGAGGTGAGTGAAGGTCAGGTAGTCCGCTGACGAGCTCATCTCTGGTTCTGCGAGGCCTCCTCTGTCTGAAGAGCCATCAGCCATGGTGGCCATGGAGGTCTGGAATAGAAGAAGGCAGAAAACGTTATGCACAAAACTGAAAGAGCACAGATAATAGTAAAGAGAAATACTTAAAATGTAAGAAATAAGACACAATTTAGTAATATGATTATATACCTATTATTTTCTTATTATTTGCTCTTCCACTTATTTCATCGACACTCAAAAAAACTGCCTCTTCACACTGCTGCGGTTAGAGAAGTACAGTGAACCTGACACTCAGCTCAGAGAGAATCAGGAAGAACTTCTGTCCTCTCAACTCGAATCAGCCGTAACATCTCACCAAGTATACAGCCACTCTGTCATCACTTAATACGTTACCAGTCAAACCACTTCATCAGTTCATCGCTTGAACTTTAATTGTAAATATTGTACATCATAAATGTGACAGATAAACTTGAACATTAACTGAAGAGCAACAATCTGAAGAGCCGACAAGAACGTAGAAATGGAAATTGCTGGAAATTTCTCAGTAAAATGCCACTTCTATTCTTTGAAAAAGCCATCTTGTCATTCAGTCTCTTCTTTCTTCTTTTCTTTTTCTTTGCAACACTCCTCTGCTCTTTTCCTTCTTTTTGCTTTCAGTCTTCCTATTTTCCTTTACTCTCACTCTTTTTTCTATCAGTCTTTGTATTTTTCTTCTCTTTAACTCATTTTTTCTATTAGTCCCTCTTCTCTCCTCTTCTATAAGTCTTCCACTACTCTAAAACAGAGACATAATATAATCACAATCCCCTCCAAAAATATTAGAACATATACTGAAAATTTACTATTTAACAAAGAAAACTTTTTTGTTTCACATACCCTTTAGAAGTTGAAAAGTTTTAGATGAGAAACGGGGGTTATCATAGTATAATCTTATTATAAATATTAACATTATTTTTATTTATTTAGAGCTCATCATAGCACAGAAACAGCACTGGTGAAAGTTACTAATGATATTCTCATGGCCTCTGACAATGGACAGATGTCTACACTGGTCCTGTTCTTCTTCTTCTCCTATTTCAAAGGTGACGTGCACAGCTTTTCTTCTCTGTCTGTAATGTCAGCTCTGCGTCGCTGGCATGACCAGCTGCTACAGTGACAGCAGTTGTTGCGCGCAACTACACTTGCACACCATGCAACTTTTTTTTTGTCATTCATAAAACGCTCAAATCGGGGAAATTTTGGGGGACAACTTTAACCAGGGACATGTCGTCCAAAACGGGGACTGTCCTTGAAAATCGGGGACGTCTGGTCACCTTAGTAAATACCGAGGACTGTCTGAGCAGCACTGTGGCTAATGGCTAACCAACATTTCATTGAAACATGTCCGCTGAGTGGAAGTATTTCACACTAGAAATACCACAAGACAGCAACGTACAATGTCTGCAGAGCCGCTGTACCCAGAGTAAGAAGCTCCGTCGCGACCTGCAATACATTGAACTTAAACATTTGAAAAAGCACCACATTAAAGAGCACAAGGATTGTTTAGCCAGGCACTACAGTTAAGTTAGGTTTACGTTGGACGTTCGAGCTCCATGGCATCAGTGGTGTGTTCCTCTTGTTCAGACCGAAGCAGGCAGTCTGATTTCAGTCAGCCGCGTTCAGTCTGCCCATCTCGGAGGATGGACAGACTGAGCGCGGCTGACTGAAATCAGACTTCCTGCTTTGCAGCTTGATTGAATATTTGCAGCCAAGATATAGTTTTCGTTTACCCTCCAGGAGATATTTATCAATACAACAGTAGACAATCATAAAAAAAAAGCATATGAATTGAAAAATAAAAGAAAATTATATTTAAAACAAAAAGAAACATAAACAGCTACATTATAATAAACAGCTACATTATAAAGTGATGTAAAATACTAAAAACAGGAACATGTCTTTGTTGGGTTTTGCCATTAACTTAGCATATGTTTGAAGCCATTTAATCACTTTAATATCCACTTCGGCATATTGTTTTTGTTGTTTTATGCTATTAGTGCTTTGTGTATATTTAGTTTGTTATTCTTAGTTCATATATTAGATCTTATTGCTGCTGTTCTTTTACATTTTATTGTGGGATATAACTGGGACCCTGTGTACATAATCTTGTTCCACCACATGTGGTGTGTATGACAATAAAACTCTCTGACTCTGATTTTAAAGCTAGGAATAAAAAACAAACATTTTGTGTTAGCAGGATTTCATTCTAACTTTGAAACTTATCCAACACTAATAAAACTTACCTCAAGTTGTCTTTTTGGACATGCATGTATATATTTGTACAAATTGTACTTGCCTGAAGAGAGGAGATTATTACAGCCTCATATAAAATCAATGATGATGATGATCTAAAAAAGTTAAATCTGGTCCTCTGGACATTCAAAAAAAACCAAAACAAAGCAAAACAACAAAAAATGTAGAATCGTTTCGTCTCTCGTCCGAGAGACTTCTTCAGTCTGAGGTGCTGTATTCAGCTCAGTCTCTTAAATAGCACCTTCTCAGAGTGGATCAACCAGTTTTGCTGCTGACAACCAAAACCAGCTGATCACATACTCAAGAAGGACCATCAGCATAACAATGGATCATTAGCACACTGATGGCTGTTTACTGTTCACAGAGGGCTGAGTGATACTAGCAATCACAGCATTGTAAGAGGGGGACAGTTGAACACGTAGGCCTCCACCCCTGTTTAATGATGGACGATTTCTTTTCACAAAGATGGCCTCCTTTACTCCTCTCAAACCATCGTTCCTCTCTGTCCAGGATGTGAACATCTTCATCCCTGAAAGAGTGACCGCTGAAGATGTTCACATCCTGGATAGAGATTAGATTAGATAGACAGTATT